TTGGATTTTCGCGACACTGTTTGTTTCATTTGTTTATGCACTCGAGAACTGCCGTCACCTTTGCTTTCGTGTTTAATATGGTTTGTTTGCAAATAAATTTTAATCGCTATCAACTAAAGGGATATTTAATTATCGGCTCTCATATATGTAACCGAGGTACCTATGATATAAATTGGACAACACCGTATTGTGTTCTTTGTTTGCGAATGATTGGACTATCATGGGATTTGTATGATGCATCTAAAACAGAAGTAAGTATCGGTCACCATGGGTTTTGGGATTGTTTCATTTTTTCAAACTATGGTAAAGTAAATTTCACTTAGTATAGCTACCTTGTCAGAATTTGGACTATATTGAGTTTGGGATATTAAAATGTTTGAAATTGCAAAAAGCCTCATGAATTTCTGGATTGGTTCATGCTCTTAAATTTTCAACTCAAAATTTATAAAGTTTTAGTTTTTCACACTTTTCCACGAATTACTGAAAATTAGTGGTGATAGGTCTCCCAAAAAATGCTTCAGGAATCTCACATGAAGTGGTCAGGATGTCGGTCCGTAGTACATCTGATGTCTCAATATATTTTGGCTGAAATCAGTATTTAGAATTCGTTATCACGAAATAGGACAGTGAACTGGCGGGTTGCTAAATATCAGCTTGTAAAATAAACTCTGGTTACCGGTGTTTATTTTCTTACTGCTTAGATAAATTTTTAGGTGTTAGCCCCCAAATGCCTTGGTACGCCCGAGAGTGGGGAGAGTCCTCTCCCTCTCGAAATGCTCTCACATGGCCACGCGTATATAGTCTCTGCCAGGGAAGTCCTCCTCACTGCCTTCTCGTGGCGGGGGTGTTGTTTACGAAATCGAGAGGACGAAAAGCGAATATCCGGCGCTTTAACCGGGTCAGTGGACATGGGGAGTCCACCTAAGGGAGTTGGGAAACCCTTATTTCAAGCCAATGGTGCACATGCGCTCTAGTACTCTGGGGGAACAAATGGCGTATGAACCAATCGTTGGTCACCGGCTACCATGGAACTGCATCTCCTTACGATGCTCCATTGCCTCGCGGACCAGAGCTTCAGGTCGAAGGCTCTGGGTGTGGCCCCTTAAGAAAACCACCTACTTCGGTTTGGGCACCCGGGCAGTATCACAGCCCTCACACATATCAAATGAGATCTGTGTGGTGCATATGTATTTGGTGCCTCCTTGTACCAATATCTATGTGTCAAAATAAAATAAAAAAATAGCAATCCAGGATAACATTAATTTCCCTTTTTTTGTGTTTTCTTAGAGTAAGCAAGTTTCAGCAAACCTAACATTTTTCATTCATGTTTATCATATGTCATGTGATTTAGTAGAGGGGAAAACAAATCACAGCACTTTATATCTTACTCACTGAGTCCGGAGAACAACTTCACTGATATCGATAATCTTGATCCAAATAGTGTTAATGGTGCACGCCTGAGACCATATTAGGTTTTAAATCCGGAATCTATACTTGAAGCATGTACTATATAATGAGCCATACAATATCTAGATGACGAGTTCTGAATGAAACAAAATGTCCACTCTAATTTTCAATTTCGACTACTATCAAAATTGTAACTAAGATAGTAGAATTTGAAGCATTTGGAGTCAAACGAATTAAATGAAGTTACTCCAAAAGCACTGATTTTAAGTCGGTTTCTAATACTACTATCCCAGTTATCTAACCATATTACTCAAATAATTCTTAGCTTTGTGATTTTGTGTCATCGGTTTTCAACTTGGTAGTTATGTACACATATCACATCCACACAGTCATTCGTTGCAGGTTTACAACAATATCCAATTCATAAAACCACTTTTTATTCATACTTTATTCCTGTTACCTTTGTCACGCAATCAGTTCTGCATATATTCTGGTAATCGTACTCATGCAGCATCTTGCTATTTGTTTTCGATTTATTATTTAAACACAAAAGAAGGTATAGTGAGACACCAACTATATATGCGCCACACTTCATTCTATTTGTTTGAGGGCTGGAATACTTCCAGGGAGCCGAAACCCAAGCAGGTGGTTTTTTAGAGGGCCACGCCCCACGCCTTTGACCTAGAGGTCCAATCCACAAGGCAGGGGGCAATATTAGATGCAGTCCCATGGCAGCCAGTGACCAACAATAGGTTCATACTCCATTTTCCCCCTCAGGATTATGAAGCCCATATGCACCACTGGCTGGGAGCCGGGGTTTTCCAACTCCCTTAGGTGGATCCTTCATATTCATCGACCTGGTTAGAGCTCTGAACATTCGGTTTTCGTCCTCTCAATTTAGTAAACAACACCCTCAGCACTTGAAGGTAGTGAGTATGAATTCCATGACAGTGGCTGTATACTTGTAGTCATAAGAGAGCATTCGAAGAGGGAGAGCTGACTCTCCTCACTCTCGATTGTACCAGGGCATTTATATACATATATTATGGCACATTTTTTTTTTTTTTTGATTTTGGTAAGTTTTGATCCATTCTGGCACTAAATGGCTCGTCGATTCGTTGAACAGTAGTTTTCAGTAAAATACCAAACATTCATTCGATCCGTTAAAGATGCATCATATTGTTAGAGTAATCAAGGGGATTATAGTTAAGGATACCTGTAAGTGGTTCATATGTTCACATATCTAAAACTACCAGAATATTAGAGTATGGGAGTTTTAACATTTTGATAAAACAGTTTTCATGTAGTCTGTCTGTAAGTTAATGGCGATACGATACAGAAATAGTTGTAAGGTAATCCTTTTACTTACTACAGCGTTTTTGCTGCAACGTTTTACAGATTTTTATTTTTAAGATGTTGAAACGTCAGAGTTAATACTAGTTAGCGAGTACCATTCCAACTAAATATGAATTTGCCTTATTTTCTCTAGAGTCAACGTTCGGTTTCTCAACGAAAGTCAGCTTTATCTAAATTTCCTGGAGTATTGGAGACATTAGCTTTTTCTTTTACTCCAACAGCTTTTCTTACTGGACCCCAGGTGAGTAACTTTTTCTGTCAGTCGATTAAAGTAAACATATTTCGATCCGATTATTATTAATACCTATCTGATTCGCTTATGTAAATCCGTTAAATGATGTTTATATCCTACTGCTCAGACTACTGTTCATTAATTGATTTTTTGTTAAATACTGAGTATTCTTTAGGTATAATCATTAAAATCGATAAATGTTGAAGCGATCAGGGTAACATTATTTGATGGCTCCGTAGTAGTTTTTCCAGAACGTTATGCCGTAAGATTTATATTCTCAAATTAAATTTTACTGTTTCATTTCGACAGTACAAATGATTTTGTATTGTCGATAAATATGATATGATTGACAGAAAACACTCATTTTCTTTTAAAATAACGTGTATCAAGCTAGCTAATTATTCTTTTGTATTGAATTAAGGCATTTTTAGTAGCTGTGTTAAAACTTTCACTAGTTCGTTACGCAACACTGTGCACCAATTGTTATTATGTAGAATGACAATCTGAGCTGCACTATCAAACTAGTTAACCCAAAAAATAAGCAGTCTGTTTATTTTATTGTTAATATCATGACTAAGAAGTTATGCTCATTATACTTGGAATCAATCTGATTGCTTTCTTGTAGTTTTCAGGTTCAAACTTTTTTCCAGCTGCTTAATGTTACTAGTTTCCTTATGCATTGTGTGACTCAAATCTAATTCTACTAACTTGTGCTTATTAAACCTCAAACGGTTCAGCTGTAACCATCTTCCCTCTAGAATACTCATAGTATTTTGCAAGTGGTTACTCGGTGTATTAAAATAATCGGTTGGATTATTTAACGGTTTTTCCAGCTAAATGCCTCTTCTCTATTATGCCAATTTGCTTATTGTAACTTCATATAGTTGCTTGGTTATAAATTGTACTTCACCAATTAAGTAGTTAACGAATATATTGTACGAATGACCCTAATTTACTTGGCTTAAAAACAAACTACAATGGGTTAGTTTTTTAATGTTCCAAGGAATATTCACTTAATGTGCTACATCTATCCACATGGTAATTTAATATTTCCAACCAATGAGAACCAACTTGACATCACAAAACATTTGGTTTAACACTACTACATCAGTGACAGGTAAAAAAAGCGTTTTATAACTCATTGAAATATACTTCCTACCTGCGATTATGGTATTTTTGTTTATATTTTAAGTTTCCCATGCGACATTTCCAAGCATTCATTGATGGATCATTAAGGCCAGTAGTCCACTTAAGAAAGAGCACATTTAAACACCGTTTCATCTATAATGCCAAGTAAGTATTTATGTTCGTTTTATTTTAACATTTTTTTCATTGTCATTGACGACATAGCATTTGTTGTCCGTTAATTCCTTTAGTCTGAATAAATTTATTACAAGTTGTGCCTTAACTATCTCGATTTCATTACTAGATTTAGTGTCACCAGCTCTCACATATAGTATTGTTCAAAATAGAGTGAAGAGATCTGTTGTTAGTTACCGAGTTGCGTAAATTGATTTTAATAACTAATCACAACTCAGTAATAAATTAAACTTGGGTACAATCTATGCAAATGTGAAAAATATGACTGGAATATGTACTCTAAATGTTTAATCATACATATGTAGCAAAGGCTTTGTTGTGTATTAATATCATTAAACAACGTATTCCATAATGCACATCTCATTCGTTTTAAAACTTCAAGTGTACATGCGTCTAAACCATTCACAATCTGTCAGTATCACTAAATTTTAAAATATTAAAGATTCCCATTGTGAAAATTAGAACAACACATATAAGCGAACAATTGTTTTCAATTAGATCGTCATCAGGCTTTACTCTAATATACATGGATATTTATACGAAAATTTTAAACCAATCAAGGCAATATGAGTCAATAATCACAATGAAATAGAATAAGTCACTACACATAAAATAGGTAAAAGTACAAGTTGATAGTACGAAGACAGGTGAACGGATAGTAGTAAGAATAATAAACTATAATAACAAAACTCTTATCAATAGTTAATCGTTGGAAATAGAAGGTCAAACAAACATGGGTAAATAGACTAGGAATAGTAATCACAAAACATTAAAATCATTACGTAATAAGATGTGTGTAAATAATTAGATAGTGAAGAATACAAAGAGGCGGAAAATTACAAACAAATAATGGTTGTGGAAATAAGGTTAACGATAACACAGAATAAAATAAATAAATAATGATAATAATAAAATTTAAAATAAAATATAAATAAATAATAAAAAAATTATTAGTTAAGTTATAACTGTCCATGGAAGGGATGAGGGAGTCATGTATTTCTTCTGTACACATAAATTGGGGTTATATGTACGAATTCCAATGGCTTCACCTTTATATAGGAGACGAGAACGGACTCCATCGGGAAATGATGAAGGTATACGATAGATAACTCGAAATGATTTCGATTTATCTACTGCATGACCGCTATCAATAAGATGTGCCAATATAGAACTGCGAATAGTTTTTCTCTGGCCCTTTATGTACCAAGTTGGTAGATGTTCACTCATTCGTTGGTTAAGTTGTCTGGTAGTACGCCCTATATAGCTATCTCCACAGGAGCAGCTGAATTTGTAAATGCACATGGAAGAGGCCAACTCAGGTAACTTATCCTTCGTTTGAGTAGACATCGCTGGTCGAAATAACTAATGTATTTGTAACCGAATGTTTGTGTTATTTTAATGTTCCAGTTAATTATTTAACATATTCAGATAAGACAACTGACTGGAATCGTTGAATGTAATATCTGTTAATTAGTTAATACTAGATAGACAGAACGGAATAAGGAGTTCAGGTTTACTTATTAATTATTAGTTGCCATAGGACAGCTAGTTGTATTCCATCTCTCCTATTAATACTGTTTGGATTAGCCCATATATGTAGGGCTTTGGCTTTTTGTCTTTGTAAGAATTAACGCCATTTTGAAGGATTATCGTGCCTTTGGAATCAATCGTATGACCCGACTCTATCGAGTGTAATGTTATTGATGATTTGTTCTCTAGTTTTCTTACATCGTCTGAGGATTTACGAATGTCGTTTTTAAACATAGTTTGTGTTCCTTCACCCCCACATTCAGTTGTTCTGATGTTTTGATCAAAACTAGTAAGAATCAAAGATCGAATACACAAGGAGGAGTAACGAAATTGTGTTTATGAAATCAAATGTAGTGAGTGTAATGCAACGTATGTAGGTGACTGCTTTAATTTTTACGAATACCTACTTTAAACATTGTTAACGTTGATTGGATGACATATTCAGTATACAGTGAACCGGAGAGCCATGTACCTATTTATATTCGATAATCTTGATGTTTGATTATATTTCCTTGAAAAAGCTTGAACCAGATTGCCAGGTCCCAAGCGTAGCTACTACCTTGACGCGGTGGTCGAACTTGCCTATCATGATGGCCCAACCGAGCTATACCGACTGAAATATATGTTCCTGTAGGTTCTACCATACCAGGCAGGTCGATTGGAGAACGGTAAGACTAAAAGCAGCAACTCGAGGTCTGAGGGCGAAGTCGTACTGCTGACTGTAGAGGGGTGTGATAGCAGTAAGGTGTTTTCCTCGGACAACTAGCATCTGCAGCGTTGCTGCCTTCTCACAAGGAAGGAAAGGGTTAGAAAAGGTTGACCCTAAAAATGTCACACCTCAACTTACCTCACGGATTTCCATCTCCGGCGGTAAGGCCCTTTGAAGAACGGAGCTAACACATCAAAAACCTTCCACGAAAAGACCTTGCGCGACCGGCCTCAAGCAGTTGTCCCTTGAGCTCTGCGGTCACACTCCCAGGTCGTTAAGACCAACACTAATCCAACTTCTTTTTCAGGTTCCTCAAGAAATACCCTTCCACGGGGTGGCAACCGGGAAGTGACATCAGCCTCATACCCGTAGCAGCACACGAGATCAAGTTGGTTACATTCAAATCCTTCCTACATCTAATAACTCTCTTATCTCCACGACCAACCCTTCTTACATTCCTTTATCACCTCGGGCCACTAATGCAAACGATTCGAGTACGCGGAACGTTATTCCCGATCTCCTGAAACCACGCTCTAAACTACATGTACTAGCTTTTAACGTCCGAACACTGTGCCAAATAGGACAACAGGTTTCCTCATCTGGGACTTCAGAATTTCGCGCTGTTGACGTATACTGCACCTCCGAAACGTGTATACTGGACCCGAGTAGCGTCATTCATTTCACCCCACCATATCAAAATAGAGAACCATCTCGATTCACGCTTCGTGTATCTGAAAGCCCTGATGCTGCTTCCCCTGGCCTCGTTGGTATAGGTATAGCATTGAGTCTTAGGGCAGAACTAGCTATCTTAGACTAGATACCAGTAGACAGTCGTTTGTGCGCTGTCCGACTAAACGGAACAGTAAGGACTCAGAAAGATAGGGACACTCGTCGTTTCTGCCTATTCTCCCACTGACTGCAGCTCAGATGATGTAAAAGATGAGCTTTACAGAAAGCTTTCCAACCTTCTCCGAAAAGCAAGGCGCTCGGATGTAGTAATAGTGGCTGATGACTTTAATGCTCAAGTAGGTAAACTAGGTGAAAGGGAAAGACACCTAGGTGGATCTTATAGTGTCGTGGCTCAACGAACAGATAATGGTGACCGTCTGTTGCAGCTATGTTCAGATAACCGCCTGTTTCTTGCAGATACTAACTCGAAGCATAAGCGAAAACATCTTTTGACATGGCGGCTCCCGAATTCATCCCAACGTTGAACCCAAATAGATCACATCGCTATCAGCCACCGATGTAGGGGCTCGATAGAAGACTGTCGCTCATTCTGGAGCACATGCTTAGACTCAGATCATGCTCTAGTGTGAGCGCGAAATCGTCTGCTTCTTATTGGACGTAGGTAAGACACTGCAAGGAAATCTCTTAGGGTCCTACTCAGTGATAGCCAAGCTAAGAATATATGTCAGGAACAAATAGAAAAACAGTTAGGCAGCCGTGTAAGTGACGCCCACCCCGAGGCAGCATGGAGTGATATCCGAAAAGCTGTGGAAACAACAGAGATATCTGCTAGTAAGGTAAACCATAAGGTTAGGGAGAAACACTTGATCTCAGCAGCATCTACCACACTGAAAGATGCTCGAAAACTCATTCCACCTGGCTCTGAACATGACGAAGAGCGGAGTCAGTTTAAACACAAACTGACGAGAAGTCTACGCAATGATCGCGAACAGTGGTGGGTAGCGAAAGCAAGAGAGATGGAAAAGGCAGTGGCAATAGGCTACAACAGACAACTCTTCAGACTTGTCAAGGGAACCGTTATTAGGAATCCAACTGTTAGCAAAACTATCTCGCAAAAAGACGGATATATTATTCACTCTCAATCCAGGAGATTTGATCGATGGGCAGAACACTTTAGGGATCAGTTCAACTGGCCTTCAGTCAAACTTCGGTTTCTCACGATCTGCAGTCGACCTAAATGGCAAGTTGATGTAAGTCCTCCAACTCTTTACGAACTTGAAAAAGTTATAGGGAGAGTAGCAGGCCCTGACAGGTTTACCCTGAGATTTTTAAGGGTGGCGGTCCAGTATTAGCAGTGAGATTGGCTGAGGTCTTGGGTAGAGTCTGGGAAGTGGACGTAATCCCATTTAGTAAAAATTCCCATTTTGCCATTTGGTAATCCCATTTGACTGGTCGATAAGGAAGGACAAAAGTTCTCTTATGGCAATCACAGAAGAATCAGTTTGACTAATATAGTGTCTAAAATATTAGCTTCAATAATACTTCGACGCCTAACTAAAGCTCCTGAAGAGCAGACTAGAGAAAACCAGGCCGGTTGTCGACCTGGACGTGGTTGTATAGACCAGATATTCACACTACGTCAGGTTCTAGAACAGAGACACACATTCAGACGTTCCACAATAGTAGTATTTCTCGACCTTAAGGCGGCATTCGACTCTGTTGATCGTGAGGTTCCATGGCAGTGTTTGTCACTGAAAGGAGTACATTAACCCTATACAGGCTCTCTACTCGAACACAACTGGTAGAGTGAGAGCTTATGACGAACTGCCATCAGAATTGATTACTTCAAGTGGTGTTCGTCAGGGCTGTCCACTCTCTCCATTCTTGCCTAACTTTGTCGTGGACGTGCTTTTAGAGATGGCACTTTTCTCATCTAAATTTCCAGGGGTTTAACTTTTACCGGGAGATTCAATTGTTAACTTAGAATATGCCGACGACATAGTTTTATTTGGCGAAGACGCTGACAAAATGCAGAGTCTTCTGACCACTCTAAGCAACAATGCAAGCATGTTCGGGATGCGATTCTCCCCCTCGAAATGCAAAATGTTGCCTCAGGATTGGGTTGCATTGACACCCAAACTAATGATAGGGAGTGAAGTAGTTGATTGTGTCGACCGCTTCACTGTTTCGGAAGTCTCATCAGCCCTTGTGGTTTGGTGTGTGACGAAATCTCAGCACAGATGCAGAAGGCTCGACTAGCTTTTGCCAACTTGCGTCATTTATGACGTGGGCGAGACATCCATCTATCAACCAAAGGAGGACGTGTTTACTGCTCAGCAGTTCGTTCCGTCCTACTTTATGACAGTGAAACATCGTCGGTAAGAGTGGAGGGTATTCGTAGGTTACTAGTATTTGAATATAGGTGTCTTCGAAGGATTGCTCGTATCCTTGGACCACCAACTAGGTAATTCAGTTGTTAGGATACCGATACTAGGTAAGGATGGCAAATCAATTGATGAAGTAGTGAAACTTAATCAGTTGAGATGGCTGGAACATGTGTTACGTGTACCCAACCACCGACTGCCCCGACATGCGATATTTTATGGTGTAGGAGTAGGTTGGAAGAAAGCTAGGGGCGGCCGGACCAAAACATGGCACAAATCCATGAAGTCATTGACTAGTGGACTAAACCATGTTGGTAGATGTAGACTATCTGACCGGGATCCGCGAGACGATAGCAACCGATGGTTAGAGACCCTGAATGACATGGCTCAAAATCGTTTACAATGGCGCAGGTGTATCATCCACTCTTTGTGTTCTCCCAAATTCTAATCTTCTTAATTTTTATGTCCTTTTTTCCTCTTTCCAAATTTATTTCACCGTATTACACTCTTTCAATAACATCTCCAAACCCTAATCTGTCTGAATACTGCCTATACTTTTACTACCTCTACCACTACGGGATTTGAATGGACAACTGCATCTCTGTCCTAATGTGGTATGGCAACTCGAACTGATGTATGTACGTACGAAGTTCTTCGTTGTTGCTGACCGACTGACTGAGATTGCCAGGTGGAACATTGGGTTTACTTCAAATAATTGGCTGAATTTCACAAATATATTCTTCCTCTTTAATTTATTTTTCCCAAATCTTATCTTCCATGCCTAATCTTCTCTATTACCTCTACTATTCTGGAATTGGTCCTGATAATTTCATCTGACAATGTTAATGGAGTATGACAACTCGAACCTATGTACATGCGAGCCAGGTTCTACGTTGCATAAGATTGATTGACTGATGAACAATCCTTAAATCACAACTTTTTTAGTCAGTTTGATTTTGTTATGATACGTGTTACTTAATTATACTCCTTATGTGTAACAGGTTCCATCGGACATTGAATCGCTTGGTATTGGGATATTTTGGCGTAATTGTTTTATCGAAATGGTTCGCAATGTACCCTGCCGATAAAATGTTAACTGATGAGTTTCAATATGTTAGTTTAACTGCACTTTGAATATACGATTAAATGGTTTATGTATGTTATTTCATATACACATTATGCTTTATGAAGTTGGGTTATTTTCTAATCTGTTTTATTTTCTTCTGAAAAGTTGTCACTGGTCTTCAATTTCATTTGTCTAAATTAAACTACCCCATCACAAGATTCTGGCGGAAAAATCTTATTCAAAACAGTTATCACTGTAAATTGTTGATTTTTTACACTTAGTTTCATGTTATACCATTTCAGAGTTTATTCGAATAATACATACAGAAGTAGCAAATATCTTACACTAAGATTGCAACAAAGGACTACTAACACGAAGAAAAGTGAAATATACAAAACCAATGCAATACATGAAAAATAAGAAAAATGAAAATTGGGAAATTCAAAATACGAAATGGAGTGGATTGCACGTATCAACTTCTAAAATTACCCTTATTAATTAGAACTATGGGAAGGAGAATTACTACCACGCTAGTAAAATAAATTGAGTAATTTCTTTTGACGTTCTTACCATAAATTTCGAAACATCGTGGGTATTATAGCATGTACTTATTAAACTAAAAGTTATTCTTCGAGGATTTTTATTGTGTCGTATCAGGTTTCTGTATTGATTTTAACATCTTTTACAAATGTTGGTTCTGATTAAAATCATTGCAGTTTCATTCATTTCATTAGCCTAAAATATTTCACACATGTACTTCTGGCACATATATAGCCTCCAACTTTTTGTCCAATGTACTAATTTTATTCTGCTGTTAAAGTTGACCTATATCTGTTTATTTATCCTGTGATTTGATTTAAAACTTTGAGTTCACTCACAGTTCTTATTTATACTCATCCATAATTTGTCGTACAAAAATCTAGTCGAATAAATAATTCCATTTTAATACTATGTGTACATTTTTTCCTCATTTATTTGCTTGAGGTAAATTCTAAATTCAGGTTTATGGTCGATGGGAAATCAGTTCATTGATTTGTTTGTTAATGAAAGTCTATCACTCAAGATGGTTTGTAGTGATTTCGTATAATTTGATGGCAGCTTTCATCAGAGCCTGGGATCATCTAGGAAACCATTGTAAACCAGGTAGAACTAGATGCCTATTTCAGTGTAGTTTGCGACTTTACAGTACCGTACAAACCCACTATCCTGCATATGAGGTTGAATTTCGGACATTCAGATCTCGGAATAAGGATGATACATTCAAACTTCTAAGTCAAAATACGGTAGTTTACGCTTCTAATTTTATGTTAGAATTTAGTCAGTTGAGCGCCAGTCATTTTTTAATGATAGTTTTGTATCATGAATTGACATAACAGTTAATTAACAATTAAGCTATATATATTAGTATAGCTAAAGATGGATTATAACTTTGTACATCCTTAGATTAGCAATTAGTGGTTAGCCGTATGATTTTCAGCCACTAAGTTACCAGTTCGAAACTCTGTCCACCTACCATGGTTTTGGCGATCAGTTAATAGCACTGGTCATTAGAACTGGGGTTGTGTCTCAAAGCCAAGTGTGCGAATCTATCTATGGTAAGTAAGTTGATAGTAGTATATGTACGTAGTCCATATGACCGTTATAATAATTAACTGACTGCGCATGAATTCACGCTTTCATTTTTGCCTTTCATCCTTATACATTCGAATGACAATTTTGAATTTCTTTCATGCATATTATTAAGTGCTGCTATAATTGGATGTGTTTTTATGTTTTTTGTTGTTGAGTAATTGAAGTACAAATCAAATCAGTATATTACTGTTTTTTTACTTTGTCATCCTTTATACTGTCACTTTCGTTATTGAAAACTTTGTTTGCAGGAATGGAGTTTCTTTTCACGTCTGCTTTACATGATGATATTTGGACAGTTAACGTTATTACGTTATGTATCAATCTGGCTAATAGCTGTAAGCCTGAATTTTGTGTTACTTTAATAATGATTATCATTGAGATCATGAACCGATGAATGTTAGACCACCACTGTAAGCCTGGGAGGACTGGACGGCCGTTTCGTCTTAGTATTGGACTCCTAGTTTTAAATAATTCGACTAATTTATTGTGTCTAGTGTACACGTTTGCAACTAAATAGTATTTCGAAATTTGTTCACTAGCATATTTCGTCAGTTTACTATGATAATATCATGGACATGACAGTCTGTAGTCATAACTGGTTACTTCACCATAAAAATTAAATTGACCACTTTGGTCGTGGGAAAAAGGTCAACTTTTTATGATGTTCGCTGCTTACTTTTCACGAAGAGTTTTATCCTGTATTCTGCTAATTAAGTAGCATGTTGAACCATAATTAGAAAAGCAAACAGATATCTTGAGTATAGTCTTTGTTGAAGTGAAGTGTTTTTTGAATACATCTTATTGAATTTTCTGTGGTTATTGTTGTTTTTAGTATTCGGCTACAAGGTTTCTCAAATTAACACTAAAATCCAAGGGTTACTGAGCAGCACAGTATGTTAGACCCAAGTTTTCGATTGTATAGGAATATGCCGGGTGAGGGTGAACTTTTAAAATTAACACAATTTGATTGATAAGTATTAGGAGCTACCTCTGTATATTAAAAGATTTGAAGTCACTGTGATATTCTCCTATTAAATCTGTTCAGAATCTATCAGCAGTACATAAGCTTCTCTTTTTATTTGAGTGCAATTCATTTCTAGCATATGTACTTAATGTGATGTATATTTTTGGTACACCTATTCTAGTTTACACGATTTAATGCTACTTCATTTTACGAAAAGCTTGTTTTATCATTATTTTCTCCTAAAGGAAGGTTCTTGTGTTTTAATTGGGCTTGGATGTACTGGTTTTGTTCATATTAGATCTAAAGGATCTATTCAACTTCCCGATTTTATAACAAATAAGGATTCTGACACGGTTACACGTAACGGTCCTGTTTTAAAACGTCGGGATTCTGCTGTGGATTGGTCTCTTGTAGAAAACTATATCAAATCCCATGCAGAACTTTATGATCCTGAACAATTGATAGTACGTGAAGCTCCTCATACAGCTTGTGCAAATATCTCTTTAAAACGATATATTTTCGCAACAAATACTGACGATCTTGTCGCTGGTTTCAACATCAATACCAACAGATGGCTTTTAGAGTAAGTTTGTTGTCTTTTTACATTTATGAAATACTGAATCGACAGTCTGTGTATAAATGAATTGTAATTATTTATTGTTTTGTGTGAAGATATGTAAAAATGGTTCTTAAGATATCACATATTTTGGTACCAGCCTAAATGTATCGAATGCTTTGTAAGTAGATCAGAGGTTTTGTTATTTCTGTATTTCTTTTAATGTAAAAGGCTTTTATGAAAAACTAATTATCATGATTGATGATATCTATTCTGTTTTATTATTACATATCATGAAATTAGTATGTGTGGTTTTTGGAGCTAACTGTCTAAAAGTGATAATTTTTGTTGTTTGGTTATGGTATTTGCTGTCAAATAGTCAAGGATATTATTGGTAAATTGAACATGTATGATTTAATTGCGTTTTGTATCAAATTCCTTTTCTTTTATTCCGTCAAATATGATGCTCATTTTTATTAGTAGTCTGGAGTGTGTATCGTAAATGGTCTGTAAAATCAAGCATCTTGTGTTGTTCATTACCAGTCAAACATTAACGTCAAACTATTCGGATTCACCAATTTACATCTTTTATTCTATATAATAAATATGTGATGTGCAAACTATATAATAATTCATATGATATACCCTAACTATCACATTTTCTCTTTTACGCAAAATAATTCACTACTGTTGTGATTGTTTTTTTTACATCTCGTTCTTTATTCTACAATGTGAACTGTTACACTTTTCTAGATATGTTATTCTTCCAGAATAGTAGAGTATGGGATTGGGTACGATCAAACGATCACTGGCTACTATGGTCTGTGCTTAGACCTCTCTTGACTCCTTTAGTCCTTGATAAAAGGTCATTCTATTCACAAAGAAATCAAGCTAATCACTAGAACAAAAATTTCCCGTCAAGGTGATATTTGTTGAGTTATTGTAAAAAGTCATTCTGTAGCTTTGAGATTTCATAGTCATCCAAAATTTGGAATGATAATATTGGAGTCTAAGACCTGCTTATTTATTGTGTAGTCATAAATTCGTCAAAAAACGTATACTTTATTTGTCATATTTAGGATCCATCTTTTAAGTATTCTAATCACGCTGTTATTAGGATGAATAAGATTTCCAAAGCCTTTCAAACAGTTAATGAGGAGTAGATCTGCCAATCTTGATGTTTTTTGTCAAACCAAAGTTTTTTCTTGAGAAAATGCTTTCTTTGTAAGGCATCTCTGACTCGCATAGAGAAAGATCTACATGCCAATCAGTAGAAGTTGATATAATAGTGGTAACTAGTGGATAATTATGTCATTTAGAAATTCAGGAAAGGCTTCAAACATTGTACCCCAATGAAATTGATATAAACAGCTTCATCTTTCCTAAAAAAATAGTTAAGATCTAGAATTTAATATAGTTGTTTTTATAAATTACTCAAATACACTATCTTCTGACGTCAGTACATTAAAAGACCTATTTTTCAATAGACACGTATGTGTTTGTATGCATTTTAACTGCTGTGTTTCTCCGTGCATTTCGTAATCGTTTTGTGGGTATCGGTAAGAGTGGGTGATTAGCCCGATCTTCACCACCCGGGTTACCGCTGACGTTAGTTCATGAGTCATTCGTCCCATTATCCACGAGGCACGACGCGGATGTGTGAGTCGGTTTGCACCATCCGTGTCTTTTTTGCTTCGATTTTTAATGCCTCAAATATTTTCAATCCCAAGAAATATCTAATTAATTACATTTAATATGTATGTGTGTTTCTGTTCACAACTAAAAATGGTGTTTAATTCTTTTGGTGTTCTCAAATATTTAGTAGTCATTAGTTCTTAAATTGTAATTAGATTCTATTTGAGTGTATTTTTAATTTTACGTTAGTAGTAGTACGATTGTACCGTGTAAACTTGTTGGCATAGAAATACAACTGACGGCAACCTAATTCGCTTAGACTGTTTTTTTCAAACTAATCATGGACAGTTAAATGTTCATGGGGTTATGTAATACGGTTACTTCATTTTTGTGAGGCATTGATATAATACGTAGAAAACAGGCACAAACATCCATACCTTATTTTTCAGCGTCTTCATAGTTATCCGTCAAATCGAAAATGATCATTGAATTTGTTTGTATACTTTTGGCTAATAAAACATTGATACTAAATATGTCTGTAATTATTACTTACTTACGCCTGTTAATCCTCGTGGAGGCCACCCACCAGTACTCTCCATCCAACCATTTCCTGGGCAATACTTTCCAGTTCTTTTCAATTGTTATTCTTTTCATATCTGCTTCTATTTCCCAACGTAGTGTGTTCTTTGGCCTTCCTCTTTCCCGTTTCCCTTCAGGATTCCAATTTAACGCTTGCCTCGTGATGCAGTTTGATGATTTCCGCAATGTATGTCTTATCCACTTCCAACTTCTTTTCCTAATTTCCTCTTCATCTGGAAGTTGATTTGTTCTCTGCCACATCAAGTTATTGACGATGATATCCGATCGACGAACATTGAGTATCGTACCTGGACAACTGTTTATAAATACTTCTCCCTTTTGACGATGGTTGTAGTAGTTCTCCATGTTTCAGCTCCGTACAATAGGACTGCACTGACGTTTGCATTGAAGATTCTGACTTGGATATTGGTTGACAGTTGTTTTGAGTTCCAGATGCTCTTCAGTTGTAGGAATGTTGTCCTTGCATTGTTGATCCTCGCCTTTACATCTGAATTAGATCCTCCATGTTCGTCGATGATGCTTCTCAGGTACATGAAGAATTCCACATCTTGGAAAGCTTCTCTATCAAGTGAGATTAGGTTGGTGTTCTCTGTGTTGTATCTGAGGATCTTACGCTTTCCCTTATGTATGTTGAGGTCTACTGCTGCAGTGGCTTCTGCTACATCAGTTGTCTTCACCTTCGTTTGTTCGTGTGTATGGGATAAAAGGGCCAGATCATCTGCGAAGTTCAAATCGTCCAGTTAATTCCGTGATTTCCCTCAGATTTGTAGGTCTACAAAATCCAATCGACCATCAGAAGAAAGAGGAAGGGAGACAGTAGACAGCCTTGTCTGACTCCGGTCCTTACTTGGAATGCGTCTGTCAGCTGTCCTCCGTGCACGACTTTGCACTGTGGTCTGTCGTATGAGTTCCGGATAATGTTGACAACCTTCTCAGGAACTCCGTATGTCGAAGGAGTTTCCATATTGTTCTCCTATCTACACTGTCAAGAGCTTTGTCATAATCATGAAAGTTGATGTCTAGTGACGAATTCCATTCAATTGATTGTTCAACGGTGATCCGTAATGTCGCGATTTAGCCTGTGCACGACCGATCCCTACGGCATCTGGTCTGTTGATCTCGAAGTTGGGCGTCTGCTGATTCCTTCATTCAATTCAGTAACACTGTTGAAAACTTTTCCTGGTACCGACAGTACTGTGATACCTCTATTGTTTTCAAATCTGCTCAGATCTCCTTTCTTTGGTACTTTGACGAGGTATCCTTATTTTCAGTCTGTCGGCGGCACTCGTTCTTCCTTTCAAATTTTTCTGAATATAACGTGATGCATCTCCGCAGTTACTTTCATATCTGACTTCAGTGTTTCGGCTGGTATATCGTCAGATTCTGATCTTTTCTCGCTCTTGTGGACCAGACCGTTAAATCAAAGACTCTGGATGTGGCCCCCTAAGGAAACCACCTGCTCCGGTTTCGGCGCCTGAACAGTATCATAGCCCTCACACAAATCTAATGACAAAATGTGGTGCATATCTATTTGTGTTTATGTGTTTAAATAAATAAAGTAGTACTGAGCCCCGGGTCAGGAGCCGCACTGATTGGTGTGATTCCTATTAACAATCATTTATGTGCTGTTAGATTAGAAAGCTGGGTAAAGGTGAGAAAAGATTGGTAAAAACTTGTTATAACTGTGAAAATAATGCTGATTAAGGGATAGCGAATTATTGATCGGACCAAAGACGCGCAAACACGTAGAACGACCTAGGGTTCTGATTGGTCTCGCTTCCCTGTCTAACCCAGCCAGTTGAGTCCAGAACACAAGTCACAGCCTCGGATATATGAATCATTATATTTCAAACATGCTTTGTTTATATACCATTCAAGCAGTCCACAACGTACCATAAAATAGAAGATAACATTGTACAATAATGGCCAACAGGAAAATAACACGTCAAATAAATATTGACCAATAAGATGATACCATTTCATGTCCAAGGATAGCATTAGGCTTAACAGGATAATTTTTGGGATATTTTCCTGAATATCCCAACAAAACTGCTGTTTCTTGATAATCCACACTCAGATCGATTTCATCCCGAACTCAATCAAATGTGAGTTCTGCCGTCAATCAAGTGGTCCCAAGAAAGTGCGTTCGAACGATACTGTAGTAGTAGCCTGAAATTTGAATCCGAAAGCCGTGGAAACTGACTGAGTTGTTGAGTTGCTGACACTAGGATAAAATGGAAACTGCAGAGATTTTGACAATTTATGATACTGTACCATAGTACGAAAGTAAGCTGGATGTAACCGGTGTATATTGGTCCATTACGACTCCTTAGTTAGAGTCCAAGAGACAATGAAACTCATTGACCTTAGATAATATCAGACATGATTCACAGTAGAGGCCGTTGTCTTTGCTTCTGTAAATTTCCTTTACATTCTTTAAGATAAGATAATTTTTGTTAAATGAAAAAACTGTCTTGATCACATTTTTAGCCTACCTGTATTCTATTGTATACTATTTTCTTTCTAACTAAGTTTCTTTTTATTTGTTTATAGTATTTTCTCTCTATATATATGGAGCACATTTTTTGGTTTTGTGTGACTCACTATGAAAACCACCTGCTTCGTTTTGGGCACTTGGGCGGTATCACAGCACTCACACAAATCGTATGAGATTTGTGTGGCGCATATGTATCTGGTGCCTCCTTGTACCAATATCTATGTCCTCAAATTAATAAAAAATGATAATAAAAATGGTGATCTGAAGCTATGTCAGTACCTCTTCTGGTTTTCACGTCTTCCATTGCCTTCTGACCTTTGCAGTAATGCAAATATGATTTATCTGGTTCTCCGCGGTGTGGTCTTGTGAGATCCATGTAGCTTTGTGTATGTGTCCGTGTGCGAATATTGGGTACATAGATTTACAAGTCTATCACCGTTCTCGTTTCTTTCTCCCAGTCAGTCGCTGTCATTCCATGATATCTTCATATCCGTTGTTGTTCGTTCCGACTTTGGTGTTTAGATCTCCCATCAGGATGGTGAAGTTTTTTCTTAGGCACTATGATTGACTGCAGCCTATCATATAACTGATCTTTATTGTTGTTGTTGCTATCATTAGTGGGTGCATAACATTGGATAATATTCATTGTGATCCCCTCCTTCTTTGTTTTAAATGATACTTTGATGATCCTGGATCCGTGAGATTCCCATCCTACAAGTGCATTTCGTGCTTCCTTGGACAGCATTAGAACAACTCGCTGAGCGTGCTGAGCACTTTCTTCCTCGTGACCAAAGTACAACAGCATCTCCTGGATCTATTCTTTGCTATTCAGCTTGAGTTCAATGTGTTTCGCTGATTCTGCGCACCACCGATTTGTATATCCTCATTTTCGTTGCTTTTTGACTGGTCGTCCCGGTCTCCCACATTGTCCGTACATTCCATGTACCTATAAAATTGTTGCTCTGTTTGTTAGAAGGGGCATCGGTCTCGTGACTTCCTAAGAATCTCGGCTTTTATCATAACGCGTCATTATTCTTCCTTCATCTCAGATGGCAGAGTTTAAATGGTTTGATTTGTTTAATCTGGATGGCGTTATTTTAGCGAGATTGTTTTCTACGGAGTGGGGTTGCTGACCACATGCCCAACCTTCCTCTTTTACCAGAGCTTGGGACCGGCAGTAGCTGTAGAAGAGCTACAGGTGGAGTTTCTGTAATTATACTATCTCTGAAACGTTTTTGCAAAATTGATATCACTCACTATGAGATGACATATTACTGGGCTTTATTATGTCGGAGTACACCTGTTTGTGATCAGATCAATAATATTTCACAGATATATGTATTTATTCATTACACAAGCCGGTAAATTTTTAATCATGTTATCGTCAAACTGACAGAAGTTAATTATTTAAAATGTTGGTCAAATTTGTTTCATTAGTGTTTTAGTATGTTCATTCTTTATTTAATTCCTAATGTTTAATATGCTATTATCTTAGTCTTATTTACGTTCTCTGTTTTTATATTCTAGTTAATTTGTACTTGTATATACTATTAGGTGAATACAGGAAATAATCATAGTTAGGGTCAGTATCAAGAGATTACGATATAGTTTTGTTTATGGGATAGACGTCCTCTAGTAAAGAAAAATATCTCGAGAAAGTCTACCGTGGTTTCTATAATCCTTGTGTTGATGATATGAACTGATGATTCTGTCTGTGATCTCTTAGTTGGTTGTCTTAGAGAATAAATGTCATGTGATTTACATTGATTCGTCTGTCTATCTGGTGTTGATTTCGTGAGTCATTCTTTTTTCCTTGAGTACTCAGGAAAGATGAACCAGTTGTAGAGTATTACGTTAGAAAACACTTATGGGTGCGCATTGTTGTGGAGTTTAAAAGTAGAACGAAACGGCTGTCTAGATCCTCCTCTTTTTTAATAGTTTCACGTCTGATATCAATCCATAGCGAACATCGTCATCTCATTAAGTTAGTCTTTACAACCAACTGAAACTGAAATATCTCTAAATTAATAACACATGTGCTTCATTTGAAGATATGCTATTGAATAGAAATGAAACTAGGTTGTAATTCTATTAAGAAATTGTATTTCTATAGCATTGTTACAAGTTTCTGTTGTATTTGTTGATTGCGTTTTCTAGTTATGTTTATAAACGCTTACGTTTCTTGGGCAATAAAAATTTATCTCAAATAATATCATTATTATTTTTGGCACTTTGGCATGGCACATACAGTGGCTATTATGTCAATTTTGGAATAGAATTATTAGTAGTGACAGTTGAAAAAGATGTAAGTTTTTTTGTTTCATTATACACACATTTTTATATGTTTCGCGATCTTGATTATTTCAATGCTCGGTTATTCAGTTAACTCTTTATTGAACTGATAAAGCCAATGTTTGTAGGATAAAGTAGTGTGGAGGTGTTACGCGGCGTGAATCTACGTAACAAATGTAGAAACAATTTAAAAAAATAATATTTTCGCATAATATTTAAAACTCATATAAGTGAAGAATATTGTTGTCCTGAATACATATATATATATATATATATATATATATATATATATATATATATATATATATCCTGTGGAACGTATCGAATATTGACTATGCTTACTTAGCGATTACGCAGTCAATATCTTAAAAACACCTGTGATCAAATTTGTACAGTCCGCATACTGTGTTATCCACGTGCAATAATTATGTTACAAATATGTGAAGCTATACAATGTGAACTGTTGTAAAATATTTTTTTATTTGACAGATAAGTAACATCATGAATCTCTGCCAGGATTCATCGGTCGCTCATCTTTAAGAGATGATTAAACTCTCAAAGTGATCTGATCAGCACATGCATCTTGGGCGAATGATTTTAAAAAGCGTAAGGCAATGTTCTAATCGAACTGATCCTCTTTTTGCTCGCCAAAGGAAACTGTTTTTGCAAACTACAATAATAAATTAAGACTTATTTGAGGAGAGTGGTTTAAACTTCAAATTACTTTAGATAGTATCACTATTTTCAATTACCACTGGTGAAAACTTAGCAGGTTCTAGTTACCTTGTTTCACATAGAATTAGTCACAATCTTGACTTTTCTAAAATCTAGCACTAATATATCATTTTTATATTCGTGTTTCTGGTATATACTAGTCTATTGTAGTGTCTCTATGTCATTTTAATTGTCTGTTTGAGTGTTTCACTCTAATGTTCAATCATTTAGCTTTAAAACAGAGTATGTTGGTTTATGTTTTGTTTTGAAAACAAAATGGGTATGTGATTAACGATTGTCTTCATTGTATAGTATCATCTAAAATTTAGTGAAAAATTTGGTCAGACTATAATTTGTTGACGAACCAGTGAAATCAGAGATAACAAGTCTTGGATTTTGTATATAGTTAAATAGCATTTTGGCAATATAGCTGATGTCAGTTCGTGATGAAAACCCTAAGCCTAACTTCTGAATCTAAACCCTAATCATAATTCCTCACATTAATTTATGACCTTCTTTTGGCCCTAGCGGGTAGATGGATTTTCCGAGGGTCACTTTAGCGTTACTCAAAAATTGAAAACTGAATTTTCATATTTTAGCATAGAACAATGTATAATCTTTCAATTCTAATGTAGTTGCTAGTGTGACAGTTGATATGTTTTTTCGATAATAGTTTTTCTCACAATCCAATGAATTTACTGTACCTCACTGTTTTCTCGTCAATCACATGTAACTCGAAAAATTTTAATTATCTCAAATGTAAACGAAGTAAAGAAATGAACTTTTTAAAAAGGTTTTTATACTTGTTTAGAATGATGATTCTAGAATGTGTCATTTAGTTTTTTTTACGTGATGTAACAAAATCTTTAGTATGTGTAGCAGAAAAAAAAGCTCGTGTGAGTTTAACCTACCAAATGGTCTTCATCAACGAACCAGGATTCATGGTTTGACTAAACGCAACTAGCTACCTACAAAATATAACGTTTAACCAACGGAATCATTCAAAGTAGTCAGTGAATTGTCTAATTTTATCTGCTTAGGATTTGCGAAGGCTATGGCAATCAGCAGGCTTAAGCCTAACCTTTATATTCAAAGAATCGATGTTTAACCGTCAACTACCGTAGTAAACAAAGCGAATTAACCATTCCGACCTTTTTGCTTCAATTAATTATAATGAAAATTTAGTGAGTTACTTTTATTGTTCCTAGATGTCCTGGATTACCTGCCATATTACGGCAGTAAATTATCTTAAATATGTTATAACCATCGCACTAAACAATTCTAAAAAATTTTGATGGAGTTTTGTTGGTCGATGACCAAACCATCCAGCTCAGAGAACAAAACTCCATCAAATCTTCTCCACCATCTCAAAATTCTAAAAAATGTTGCAAAAATGTATTTCTTAACTTCTTTTGCATTCCAAACGAACAATTCGTTTTTTTCTAATTGAATGGTACGTTTATATTTGAATATAGTTAAACTTAATAACCTGTATATAGTTAAAGCGAAAGCAAGGAAATACAATGAATTCATCGTATCCTGCAAATACTGTTGTTTTTTCCATCTAAGTTTATGAAGGGAACCAATAGCATTAAATCAGCTAACTTGAGATCTCTTTTTATTTATGGCAAGTCATTGTTTGAAATTTACGGACTATTATAATATATATATTCCTTTTATCATTAGCTTTCTATTGACTTATCAACAACTGTTATACAATTTACTATTCTTAATCTGTTCCTAGTTTTTTATTTACTGTATCTCCTACTCATAACCACTTTTGGCTTATTCATGCATAATTGATATCTTTCATTTTACGGTGTGATATTGTCTGATATAATCGTGTATACACTACTCATTAATAAAATATAATGTAGTGGAGGTTGGTTACTGACTTCTAAACTCAACGGGCAGGATAGAGATGCTACAGAATTGTGGACCGATAAGGACTTAGCAGTTAACTTAAGATTACTAGTGCTGATTGGACGCATAATTGATGAACTCAGGGATATTACGTCATAGAAATTGCGATTCTGATTAGTGGCTTTTTCACATGATATGGATCAGTGGTCAAAATTAAAAATTATTTTCAGTTTTTTAAAAGTGTATTTCATTGCACTTCATAATTATAATTAGTATGACTGAGTTATTCTTTCTCAATATATGTACATATGCTATTGTTGTTTTTTGTTTCTAATCAGTTTTTATCCATACTGAAGAATTCAAAATACAATCATTTCTTTTATAAAACGTTTACTGGACGTGTAATCAGCAGTGTATGTGGCAAACTTCATATTTATTTTATTCTGTCTAGTCCGATGGTAGCGTTTTATTTGTTAAAATTTCATCTATGGTTCCCTGTAAGTGATTTTATTGTTAATTATTTTCAATTGTCAAATAATCCGAAACCAATTTTTTTATTAACTTAAATAATATTTAATAATTAGATTTACATATTCTTTTATCCTGAAGTGATATCAAGTGGGAAATCATTAGAAATTAGGGGGTATTGTAAGGTTGTTCTGTCCTCATTGGATATTCATCATCATTGAGTGAGGTATTCAGAAGATTTTTGGGTTGTAAACTGTATTTATATAAATTTTGGCAATTTCCGAAACAGTTACTATGTTGAGATTGAAAGTATTTTCTTCAATATTAGATAAAGAACTATTAACTGTACTATATTAGAAACGGTTTTGATTTATTCGATCCCAGTTTTCACGGTTTACTTTTTATGTCTGTTTTGTGACATTATCTATGTATTTTTTTATTACAATTATATATAAAGGGTTTAAATATTTACTCTATGACAAATAATAGTTTCTTTACTCATTTGAGTACAACTAACGTTGTATAGTTGTTTATTTCAAGCAAACTTCTTTGTTACCTTATATCTATTTCTCTCTCTCTCTCTCTCTCTCTCTCTCTCTCTATATATATATATATATATATATATATATATATATATATATACAGGGCAGCCAAAACAATATGCACTGTCAGTTCATATAGTCATTGTCTGTTTTACTGAACTGTGTAAGTAGGTTTAGAGTACCTGGATAGCATTCGGCCATCGTCGTTACGAATTGTTGTAGATGTTGTGTGATATTGATCAGAATCGGTCACAATAATATGGGTGCTTTCACTTTTTATCTTTTCTTAGATCTTCAGTTTTGAAATTATCTATTTTACTATCCCACAAATTCATTCTTCTCAAACCTTATTATCTATCTCTAGTCTCTTCTATTACCACTGATTTCCTTTCTATTTCTACTACTCTGCCATGCCATTGTGATGTAGAGCATGTTGAACTAATGGACATACATGACAAGTACTACAGTGCACATGACTGACTGGTAATATCCATATAATTTACTCCGTAACTTTGCTTTTACTATCCAGGCATTGAAATCAATTTATTTCATTGGTTTGTGGTATGTATTTTGGCCATTAATAAGACCAACTGTCAAATATCTACTACCACCATTGCCGAAATCGCAATCAGAAAAGTCATCTCAACTTTCAACAACAATGAATGGTGACGTCACTTCCGTCATTGATCAGTTATCATCAAGAAAACAACAGTGATACGATAGCATAATATAATTGTATTTATTTCCTTACCGTGTTCATTCGAATATGTTAAATATCTACATATATGTGTACGTATCTATGTGAATACGAAGATCGAGAAAACATGAAACTGTGACTTTATTATTGTTGACCTGTTGTGCCTTTCTTCTATCATGAGTAAATTAAGATGACAAAGAAATAATAATGATTCGTTCATATTGTACGATACTATATGAATTTATATGTGTTAGTGTACTGTTCATCCTATTATTTCTCTTCAATTAACTCACTAAAAGGATAGATTGTGCACATTTATCTTTAAATTGTTCAGCAAAGATTTTTTAAATAATTAACAACAATCCATATCAACTTTAACATTTCAATTTTTATTTTTTTTTTATATCCGACTAGATTTTTTCCATGTGTTTTTCATTAAGACTAATTGTCTATATTATTATAACTATTGCTGTTATTATCATTGTTATCTGTTAAATTTCTTTTTCCTTGATGAAATGGATATGATTTACTTTGAAACAACTTGTAACAGACAATGAATAGCTTGAATAATCAATCTATACTGTAGCAGTACTTTTAAGTATTTTTGCTTCTATTATTATTATTATCTTTCTCTATGCTATATATTTTAGTTTTTATTTAAGCCTACACTATGTACTTCTACTTTTGTATGTATTTTATCTTGTTATTGGGAATCATCAAATTGTTAATTAGTGTTTTCCTCAATTCCTTGTCACTTTATTTCTTCCACTTTGTGTCTCTTTCTGTTATTTCATTTTTATCATTAGCAGATCTACCTCTAAATCTACACTTATTCATTTTTTCTATTACAATGTGATATTTTTTAAGAAAACAGTATCGCTGGCTACCAGTACTAATCATATAAAACAATTTCACGAGTGTATAGCAAATTTTTAATCGAGCGATGCCTTATATATATATATATCAGTCGGTTCTGTATTCCTCCATGTTTACATAATTTTTCCCCTAAAGTATCATTTATTCATAACTGTTAGTTTTAGCGAATACCACAGATATATCAGCGAGAAACGTAGGTTATTTTCCATATTTTCAACCTTTCGACACATTTTGTTTGGTTGAATTATTGTAGGATAATATTCTTTCAGCTTTAGTTTTATACTATCTTTCTTCTGTGGCCTGTTATATTTTGCTTATTTGGAGGATTTAATATCATCTAAGTTGTGAAATTATCCGATCATTTATAAATTCATGTATGGTATTTTATAAATATAACGGAAATCATCATTATACATTTTTCCTTGCTAAAATATTTTTCAGATAAGATTCCTCACTTTTGTTCGAACCTTTAACGACGAATCAAATTAATTGGAGGTTCCTGGGCTATTTGCATGTGCAGTCCTTATAAAATTATTGTTACACTTAGTCCAATACATGAATCTTTACTTACGCTGTAGAATGTATTACGTCATATGGGTAGTCAGAATCAAGATAGCTTCTTTCGTTTTGTGCACACAACTCTGTGTGGGTTATGACCGGCTTTGTTAGACTACGAAACAGAAATTTCCCGCTTCGTCAAATATACTTGACGGTTTATGCGTTATGCGGTCACTGTGATTTTCCACACTTGATCTGGGATCAGCGTATTGCGAAGTGAAAATACGAGTTTAGAAGAAAACTGAACCATTCTCTGTAGTATTATGGTTAACTACCAGAACTAAATTTAGCCTTAAATCTTTCTCGATTATTTACTGACGGTCTGCTTCGAAACAACGGCGAATATTATTAAGCTTTCTATCAATTCAGCATGTAATACGCGTGTCTTGTGTAACGCAGTCTGACATGATGAATAAAAATAACAGTCACAATAAAATTCAGAGGATAATCTCGTTTTATAAAAAAACTAATAATAATAATGTGACGAATCTATTGACTATATGACGGTAAACATGACCGTTATTTCGGCCTATGATCCACTCATTTGACGTGACAACGTTGAGTATATTTTCACTATTTCTTGAGAACACATATACCTTAAGATAAGTCTTTAGCGGTTCGAAGATCGACGTCCACTTCTAAGCCAGTTGGCGCACGACAGTCTCAGATGGCGTGTCCAATATTTTATGAAACTATTTATGTTTTTATAAACGATCTAAAAAAATGTTGGTTTACATTTAAGTTAGTGGAGTTCTGTAGAAAAAACTACAGGTTAAAAATCTCTGCGAAAATTTACCAGTCATTTAGAATAACCACATCTGAGCTCTGTGACCTGTTCAATGAAAGGTCCTTAGTCTAAATTATGTATTACCTCATTGATTGGTAACAGTTTCAAAGTACTTTTTGAGTTACTCAAAGTCGGAAATATGTCTTTGACAGTCATATACTGTCCAATCCTAAATGTGTAGAGAAAATATTCTTAAAGTTACCGAGCTTCTCTTCCGTATACCAGATTTTGTGCAGTTTAACATTCGCATAATATGTTATACCGTGGTCTTGAGTCTATATTTTAAATATTTAATTCACTGACAACCCAATGTGAAATCTTTTTCGCATGTTGTTTCATGAATTTGCCTAGAAATCCTTTCATATATGTTTCCCATGTGACAGTATTTCTTTGTTTCTCCTTACATGCAACGTTATTCCCACAAGTCTCTCTACTTATGTATATTATATTTATATTTTAGTTGATTTTAAAATTACTGTTTTCTTTTAGTGTACAATCTGATATTTTTCTGACTGCTAGTTTGTTTCTCTTGACCTTGAATTTTGGTGGCTACAGTATTCGGTAACCGTATTCTTGGCTATTCTTTTTTACTGCGATTCATTTAATCTATACCCAAGAGTTAAAAACTTCGTTTTTTACTTGTTAGGAACATTGTTGATGAGTAATTAGTGACTTTTCATTTAATTGTTACATTATATTTTGATTACTGACGTTTGGAGCAAAATAATTCTACTTGTCTCATTTTTCGGTTAGTACAGCGTTCGTTGCTTGACGCGAACGGTTTCTTCTATTTGACGAGTGCTGAGTCCATGCTTCTTAACTAATTAATTATTTGATATCGTATGGTTTGATTACACATGGTAGTTTTACAAATTATTGAAAGTTCCTGTTGTAAAAATTATTGTTCAGGTATATATTTGTACATATATATGCTTTGACAGTACTGCTTTTGTACCATTTTGTACACTTTTATATGCAGTCATTGTGTGATATCATCTATTGATGTATTTGAAACGCGTAAATGAGGAATCCAAGGGTAAAGAATTATAGGAATTCTTGTGCTTACACCCAGTTTGTCATACTTCAAACGGTATTCAAAGTAATGGTTATATTTCGGAAGCTAATTTTGTCAATACTTTAAGTTACCGCATTTCATTTGAAAATTTCTAATCAAACACAAATATTTCAATCACTTTTTTGATAGAATATCAGTAACAAACATTTAGATTGATTTGATTTGACGTACCGTTTTCTAGCACGTTTTTCCAAAATTTTACAAAATAGTTATCATTATAAAGTATACTGTAATTGTTTAATCTCATAAATATTCGCTTAATAATATGTGGGGGCCAATATATAGTTTTGTTAAGACAATTAATACTAACTTCGGTAAGCAAAACAAAATTAGAATCTGTGGTTGGTTTATTCAAAATTGAATGTTTCAATCAATAAATTTCAGTTACATGATAAAATTATTACCAGAATGGGTTTTGTGGAGAGTTTTAGAAATTTCACAGGTTGAAATCATGAGTCGATTGAAGCTAGAACACCATGGAAAACCTGGAAGCACTGGACGGCCGTTTCGTCCTAGTATGGGACTCCTCAGCAGTGCGCATCCACAATCCCGCACCACGCGGGGCTCGAACCGAGGACCAACTGGCTCCGTGCGCGAGCACTTAACCACTAGACCACTGTTTAAATCAATTTTGGAATTTATCTAGAACATCAACTAACTCAAACGAAGAGAGCTACAACACTTATTGTCTTTCAATTCACAAATGAAAATGAGAAAAACACCTGCTTTATGTAGGGATTAATTAGTAACACACAACAGATAATCATTCGCCCTACAATGTTTGTTGCTCATTAACAATCGTCGCGCATGTAGAATATCACTCATGAATTACTAAACTCCATAGACTAATTTCTGAGTGTATATTTCCACAAAATCAGAGGCTATTTAACTATAAGTATGAAATTCAGGAACCAATTTAGTGTTTGTGACAAATAAAATATCTTAATATGCTGTTATTGATTTTCTGATAATAATAATAATAATACTGGCATAGGTCTTTGTTGTAGTCTGTCCTCTTTTACTTTCCTTTGTGTCTGTCACCTGCCCATGTCTAAACAAAAAAGCAGACTAAAGTTCTACTTCTTTATGGGAATTTAGCATATCAGTTTGTATATAGCTTCAATACATATCAATTCAACAAGTGAATCAATGAATTTGTAATATTGGTCTGGAGAAAACTAAAGGTCCTGTTTGTTTACAGGGTAGATATTGAGTAACCACAATGAGATTATTTCCTGTTCATGTTTTTCACAAAAGTGTGTCGTTTTTATGAATGTATAATATTCATAATCTACATTATGTAACAAAACGTTGTTTACTTCATGTATTAATAAAGAGCCAATGACGAGTGAAAAATTCAAGTCTAATTTCAAAACAGCAAAAGTCTGTAAATTTGGGACGAATTAAAAACTCAATACCGAAATATTTTTCAAGATGGCCATTTAAGTTAAAAAATATTCACAAATGTTTAAATCATTGTTACGATATTATTAGCAGTTCATGCTTGAGTTCCATCAGTTCTCAATCGTGCTCAATCATCTTCTATTGTATTCTGTGAATAACTACCTTACACCAGATACGATTGAATCCCGCTGATCATGACTTTTCACCAGAAATCAGGACATTTTCTCACAATAACATTCAGTGATTTTTACAAAAACCCCATACTCATAATTTAAATACTATTCCTAGCAGATTTTGATAAAAATACCAGAATTATTTCAGACACAATGTCAACATTATATATGTCCGTTAAGAAATGACATAAATATTTAATGAGGTACCAATCGTCATTCAACTCCATCACAATGCTAGGAAAGTTTTTGTTTAAACAAGTTAAGATTCCCGTAAACAGAAGCCATATTTATAGTTCCTAAATAAATAGAATAGAACAATGTTTACTGGTGCATAGATAATTAGTGCACGTAATTTTTAAGTATATCTTACATCTTATTATTAACATTGATTATACGTTATGTGAAAGGTAAGTAACTAATTAGTAGCTTTGAATTGAGTTGATTTTCAAGGATTATAGTGGTCTGATACATATCTTTGTGTTCCTACTTTAGGTGAATTATTTATTAATACAATTGATCTACAAGTTTTATTACCAACTAACTATACCGTTTGATTATAAGTTAATCAACCTACTGGAATCAGAGATATAATTAAATTCAAAAGTTTCTATTTACGTATGATCATTTTTAGCGTGACCCAATGTAGATTTATTAACAATATAATACTATAGAAGATATAAGTCATGTATTATTGATCGCTGAATATTTCACTTGTTTGAGTAAACACTATGTAAAGAAACACTAATTATTTTCAACGCACATAAATTTACAGAAGTAGTGAAATCTATCAAGAAATAATCACAATAATTAATTCACTTAGCTTAAATGCATTCATTCATTTACAAATTTTGTATGCTCGGTAAAACAAACACTGATTAACCTTTCAATATGGCAGATAAAGTCATGATGGTGTTGTCATACCAATCAAATAAACAAAGCTTTGTCTGACTTTTTATTCAATTCAACTTTCAAATACAATAGAAGGGGAAATCGGATCATTCAGTAAGTTGAACATGTAATCGAGATTAGTAGTGAGTTATTAATCGTTCATAAAGGGTTCATTGTAAAAGTGATTTCGATGAGACTATAATTTATGGTTGACCTTTGAGCGATGTTTAAGTGACCTTGGGGTTGTCCACCTTCTAACTAGGACTGATTGAGGGTTATAAATCAGTGTGAGGAATCCTTATTACGATTTACAGTTGGTAGTGAAATTTGGGAACTAGGTTTTAATTACGAACTGATATTAGCTAAAATTTCAAAACTCTACAAATACCAGAATTATTTCAGACACAATGCCAACATTATATATGTCCGTTAAGAAATGACATAAATATTTAATGAGGTACCAATCGTCATTCAACTCCATCACAATGCTAGGAAAGTTTTTGTTTAAACAAGTTAAGATTCCCGTAAACAGAAGCCATATTTATAGTTCCTAAATAAATAGAATAGAACAATGTTTACTGGTGCATAGATAATTAGTGCACGTAATTTTTAAGTATATCTTACATCTTATTATTAACATTGATTATACGTTATGTGAAAGGTAAGTAACTAATTAGTAGCTTTGAATTGAGTTGATTTTCAAGGATTATAGTGGTCTGATACATATCTTTGTGTTCCTACTTTAGGTGAATTATTTATTAATACAGTTGATCTACAAGTTTTATTACCAACTAACTATACCGTCTAATTATAAGTTAATCAACCTACTGGAATCAGAGATGTAATTAAATTCAGAAGTTTCTGTTTATGCTTGAACCTTGAATGTGTAATTTAATTACTAGTTTTATAGTATCCATATGTAATGTACACCATTCCGTTCTGTTTTCAAAAATACCACTGAATAATGCGACTACATTATAATTATGATGTATGAAGGTGCTTATCTTACTTAGGTTTCTTTAGCAGATATATTTAAATATTTGATTATGAATTTTTGGGTGTAGTAATTCAAATACAAAACTGAATAATTTAAAATAGTGTGCTTACCCTATACCGTTCCTCAAAAATTTCCTTTGGACGTTTGAAGAAAATGTCGCTCTGTTACGCATAATGTTGACAGCTATAGTAGTATATACGGCGAATCTATTAACTCTGTTATAAATATGGTGTTTGGGACCTTAATTTCCAACAAGGTGTTCTAGGAAATGTTATTTTGTTTCACATGGCCGTCAGATAAAATTGTTGGTGACTGGAATAAATTTAGGAAGTGATTTGCAACTAAGCTTTATAGTTTAGCAGAGCAGTTTAAAAGCGACTTGGTAGCGGCTTGTTCATATCATGCATTATTTATTCATTATGTAGTGTAGCTAAGGAAATCTATATTCGCACTTTTCCAATGTATGTCAAGTTCAGATTATAATATTCAGGACTGTAAAACTTTATATATTCACACAAAGTTATATCACGAAAACCGAATCGATCATCATGTGCTATTCATATAAAACGAAATACCTTTAAAGGATCATATCATAAACTATCTGAAGTACTTAAAATCAAAGTTAGCCACAAGAATTATTGTGTAGTACAACTTAATTCTCTGAAAATTGAATAGCACCTGATAGGTACTACATATTTTAGTGCACATGATCATAGATTACAAAACCACATGACGAAGAAAGTGTTGTTAAAAAGAAACAAATTTGATGATTCTTAAAATATTCAATTGTTTCTCTTTAATGATTACATTACAGTCGAAACTTGTATAATATAGCGTTTATTCGAGTAACCAAGTTTCGAATATTAATAAAGGACAAAATAGAAACTAAAAATTTACAATAATAAACATTTATGTCAGTATTGATTGTTAACTTACATAAATTATTTCTCTTCTATTACTTTTTTACACAGTGCGATACACTATAAAGGAGGAAACATATTTTGCATAGATTTCCGAAAAAAGTATTTTCAGTATCGGTATAGTCAAGCTTCCTTTTTTAAAAAAAACATATTCGATATGAGTGTTAATAAATCATCTTTGAGACATTCATATGATGCGATTCACTAAATGCCATTTGTTTATATACCATTTAATTTAAATATCAGCTTGGGAGGAAACTGTTGTGTTTGATAAAAATCTTGCACAACATAGTTTATATATTGCAAGTATTCTTTGTATTTTCCTAGTTGACTTATGAACGTATTAAAGTTTATTTGTACATACTGTTGATGAACCACTGAACGCCTCGTCTTGCAATGTTGGTTATTAGAATGGCTTGAAAAGTAGCTAGGGAATTCCAAATCAAGATATGGCCACAATTTTTGAAGCTATTGACTACTAGCCTGCCAAGTATCAGAATCTGTCGATTTCCTGGGGATCGCATAATAATCGTATTCAGTGGTTTGAGACGTGAAATGAAATCTCACGAAATCAGTCTCAATGGAGAAGTTTCATTTATTTTCCATCTTCCTCTAAGTCTTGAGTTAAGTATAATCCCCAAGTTTCCTTCCTTCGATCAAAAAATTTCAACTACATTTATTACATTTAGATACCCAGTAGTTTTGATTTTATTTTTTATCCTATGGTCCTCATATTATTAGTTTCTCGCTGCGCCGATAATAATGTAGCAACTGGGACAAGTGCACGCTACTACCGCTTATGATATTGATAATGACGGAGTGATCGTACTTCCCTTCCAAAAATATACAAACCTACTTAACCTTTATTTTATATTGGTCCAAAAGAATACTGGGGATTCGTTCAGATAACTAGTAGTTAATTATATTACTTTATATTACGTGAGATCACGGCGAGACTACAATTTACGAACGAACCAAACAGATAATAGATTACACATTCAAGGTTCAAGCATAAACAGAAACTTCTGAATTTAATTACATCTCTGATTCCAGTAGGTTGATAAACTTATAATCAAACGGTATAGTTAGTTGGTAATAAAACTTGTAGATCAATTGTATTAATAAATAATTTACCTAAAATAGGAACGCTTAATTATTGATAAAAGTTTAATTATTGTATTTTATTATTCTCACTATTATCAGTTCACCTGTCTTCCTACTATCAACTTGTACTTTTACCTATTATGTGTAGTGACTTATTCTATTTCATAGTGATTATTGACCCATATTGCCTTGATTGGTTTAAAATTTTCGTATAAATATTCATGCATATTAGAGTAAAGCCTGATGACGATCTAATTGAAAACAATTGTTCGCTTATATGTGTTGTTCTAATTTTCACAATGGGAATCTTTAATATTACAAAGATATGTATCAGACCACTATAATCCTTGAAAATCAACTCAATTCAAAGCTACTAATTAGTTACTTACCTTTCACATAACGTATAATCAATGTTAATAATAAGATGTAAGATATACTTAAAAATTACGTGCACTAATTATCTATGCACCAGTAAACATTGTTCTATTCTATTTATTTAGGAACTATAAATATGGCTTCTGTTTACGGGAATCTTAACTTGTTTAAACAAAAACTTTCCTAGCATTGTGATGGAGTTGAATGACGATTGGTACCTCATTAAATATTTATGTCATTTCTTAACGGACATATATAATGTTGACATTGTGTCTGAAATAATTCTGGTATTTTTATCAAAATCTGCTAGGAATAGTATTTATATTATGAGTATGGGGTTTTTGTAAAAATCACTGAATGTTATTGTGAGAAAATGTCCTGATTTCTGGTGAAAAGTCATGATCAGCGGGATTCAATCGTATCTGGTGTAAGGTAGTTATCCACAGAATACAATAGAAGATGATTGAGCACGATTGAGAACTGATGGAACTCAAGCATGAACTGCTAATAATATCGTAACAATGATTTAAACATTTGTGAATATTTTTTAACTTAAATGGCCATCTTGAAAAATATTTCGGTATTGAGTTTTTAATTCGTCCCAAATTTACAGACTTTTGCTGTTTTGAAATTAGACTTGAATTTTTCACTCGTCATTGGCTCTTTATTAATACATGAAGTAAACAACGTTTTGTTACATAATGTAGATTATGAATATTATACATTCATAAAAACGACACACTTTTGTGAAAAACATGAACAGGAAATAATCTCATTGTGGTTACTCAATATCTACCCTGTAAACAAACAGGACCTTTAGTTTTCTCCAGACCAATATTACAAATTCATTGATTCACTTGTTGAATTGATATGTATTGAAGCTATATACAAACTGATATGCTAAATTCCCATAAAGAAGTAGAACTTTAGTCTGCTTTTTTGTTTAGACATGGGCAGGTGACAGACACAAAGGAAAGTAAAAGAGAACAGACTACAACAAAGACCTATGCCAGTATTATTATTATTATTATCAGAAAATCAATAACAGCATATTAAGATATTTTATTTGTCACAAACATTAAATTGGTTCCTGAATTTCATACTTATAATTAAATAGCCTCTGATTTTGTGGAAATATACACTCAGAAATTAGTCTATGGAGTTTGGTAATTCATGAGTGATATTCTACATGCGTGACGATTGTTAATGAGCAACAAACATTGTAGGGCGAATGATTATCTGTTGTGTGCTACCTCTGAAATATAGGTTAACCAAAGTAATCACCAGGACATTCTACGCAGTCAATCTTGCGTAGACCTTCTCTTGTCGACCAGCGATGTCTACTCAAACGAAGGATAAGTTACCTGAGTTGGCCTCTTCCATGTGCATTTACAAATTCAGCTGCTCCTGTGGAGATAGCTATATAGGGCGTACTACCAGACAACTTAACCAACGAATGAGTGAACATCTACCAACTTGGTACATAAAGGGCCAGAGAAAAACTATTCGCAGTTCTATATTGGCACATCTTATTGATAGCGGTCATGCAGTAGATAAATCGAAATCATTTCGAGTTATCTATCGTATACCTTCATCATTTCCCGATGGAGTCCGTTCTCGTCTCCTATATATAGCTGAAGCCATTGGAATTCGTACATATAACCCCAATTTATGTGTACAGAAGAAATACATGACTCCCTCATCCCTTCCATGGACAGTTATAACTTAACTAATAATTTTTTTATTATTTATTTATATTTTATTTTAAATTTTATTATTATCATTATTTATTTATTTTATTCTGTGTTATCGTTAACCTTATTTCCACAACCATTATTTGTTTGTAATTTTCCGCCTCTTTGTATTCTTCACTATCTAATTATTTACACACATCTTATTACGTAATGATTTTAATGTTTTGTGATTACTATTCCTAGTCTATTTACCCATGTTTGTTTGACCTTCTATTTCCAACGATTAACTATTGATAAGAGTCTTGTTATTGTATTTTGATTATTCTCACTATTATCAGTTCACCTGTCTTCCTACTATCAACTTGTACTTTTACCTATTATGTGTAGTGACTTATTCTATTTCATAGTGATTATTGACTCATATTGCCTTGATTGGTTTAAAATTTTCGTATAAATATTCATGCATATTAGAGTAAAGCCTGATGACGATCTAATTGAAAACAATTGTTCGCTTATATGTGTTGTTCTAATTTTCACAATGGGAATCTTTAATAGTGGAATAAACCTAACTTTTGAAAATTGAATTAGAGCATTAATGGGACTAACACGAGGAGTTATTGTTAATTAAAATATACAGATATAATCTATTTTCACTTTCGCTAACATCGTTCCAAATATCGAGTGATGAATGAAAGCAAATGTGTTGAAGAGTTTATCCTGACTTATTGAAGTTAACACTTAGCAATGTACTAATGATTCATTCACAGTGTAATATGAATTATCCTAGTAGAAAGAAGCTTCTAAAACTCTGTCTGTAGCACTTTTATTGATACTGTCGAACGCAAGTCCATGATCTTCAATCCATTATCTGATTGGTTCGTTCATAAATTGTATTTTCACCGTGATCTCACATAATATAAAGTAAAATAATTAATTACTAGTTATCTGGACGAAACTCCGCCTGTAGCTCTTGTAGAGTTACTGCTGGTCCGAAGCAAGGGTAAAGGAGGAAGGTTGGGCATGGGGTTAGCGACCCCATACCGTAGAAAACTAACTCACTAAAACAATGCTAACCAGAAAAAATAATTCAAACCATTTAAACTCTGCCTTTGGAGTTAGGTCTTCATTTAAAAGAACTATGGCACCTCATACTGGAAGCCGAGTTCCTTCGGAAGTCACGAGGCCGATGCCACCTCTAACAACCTGAGCGACAATTTTTATAGGTACATGGAACGTCCGGACAATGTGGCCAAATTTAAAACTGAAGCTAAAGAAGAACCGGACAAGCAGCACTATAAAGGTTCAGTACAGCCTTCCTTCGAGATACTAACAAATTCAACGAATTCAAGATAGCTCTGAGCAACAGGTTCTAAGCCTTACAGGATCTACTGAAGGAAGAAGAAACTACTATGGAGGACAACTGGAAAAGTATCAAAGAAGCATTGACTTCAACGTGTCAAGAGGTTCTGGGCCTCAATAAACATCATCATAAGGAATGGATCTCTTTAGAAACACTGGACAGGATCAAAGAAAGGAAGAACAAGAAGACGGGAATTAACAACAGTCGAACACGAACAGAGAAAGTCCAAGCATACGTTGAGTACATAGAAGCGAACAACCAAGTGAAGAAGAGCATTAGAGTGGACAAGAAGAAATACGTGAAAGAACTAGGAATGACGGCGGAAAAAGCTGCAAGAGAAGGAAATATGAAACAGCTTTACGATACAACGAAGAAAGTAGCAAGGAAATATAGTAAACCAGAGAGACCGGTCAAAGACAAAGAAGGCCAGCCAATCACTGAAATTCAATAACAGCGGAACAGATGGGTAGAATACTTCGAGGAACTCCTGGATAGGCCGGCTCCAATGAATCCACCGGACATCGAAGCAACACACAGAGATCTTCGTATAGATGTCAATCCACCAACGACGGAAGAAATCAGAATGGCCATCAGATAAATCAAGAGAGAGGAAGTAGCAGGACCCGAAAACATACCAGCTGAAGCACTGAAGTCAGACATCGAAGTAACTACAAACATACTTCACCTTCTATTCAAGAGGATTTGGTAGGAGGAACAAGTGCCGATGGATTGGAAAGAAGGATACCTCATCAAGATTCCAAAGAAACGAGATCTGAGCAAGTGTGAAAACTACAGTGGCATTACACTACTGTCAGTACCAGGGAAAGTCTTTAACAGAGTGTTGCTGAACCGGATGAAAGACGCAGCAGACGCTCAACTTCAAGATCAATAAGCTGGATGCCCTAGGGATCGGTCGTGCACAGACCAAATTGTGATGCTGCGGACCATCGTCGAACGATCAATTGAGTGGAACTTTTTCGTTGTAAATCAACTTCATCGATTATGACAAAGCTCTTGACAGTAAAGATAGGAAAACATTATGGAAACTTCTTCGACACTTTTTAGTTCCTAAGAAGAGTGTCAAAATTATCCGGAAATCGCACGACAGACCACAGTGCAAAGTCGTGCATGGAGGACAGCTGACAGATGCATTCCAAGTAAGGACCGGAGTCAGACAAGGCTGTCTACTGTCTCCCTTCCTCCTCCTTCTGGTGGCCAACTGCATTATGAAGACTTCAAAATCTGAGGGAAAACACGGAATGCAATGAACAGCTCAGAACCAATTAGGCCTCAACATACACAAGGGGAAAACCAAGATCCTCAAATTCAAAGCGGAGAACAGCAATCCAATCACACTTGATGGCGAAACTCTGGAAGATGTAGAATGCTTCATATACCTGGGAAGCATCATCGATGAACAAGGAGGATCCGATGCAGACGTGAAGACGAGGATTGGAAAAGCAAGGGCCGCATTCCTACAACTGAAGAACATGTGGAACTCAAAGCAACTTTCAACCAATATTAAAGTCAGAATCTTCAATACGAACGTCATTGCAGTTCTACTGTACGGAGCTGAAACTTGAAGAACTACAACAACCACCATCAATAAGGTAAAAGTATTTATAAATAGTTGTCTGTGCAAGAGACTCAACATCCATTGGTCGGATACCATCAGCAACAGCCTTCTGTGGGAGAAAACAAACCAGCTTCCAGTTGAAGAAGAAATTAGGAAAAGATGATGGAAATGGATAGGACATACATTGTGGAAATCATCAAACTGCATCACGAGGCAAGCGTTAAATTGGAATCCTGGAGGGAAGCGGAAAAGAAGGCCAGAGAGCACACTACGTTGGGAAATAGAATCAGATATGGAAATGATGAATAACAACTGGAAAGAACTGTTAAGGATTGCCCAGGACAGGGTTGGATGGAGAATGGTGGTGAGCGGCCTATGCTCCTTCACGAGGAGTAACAGGCGTAAGTAAGTAAGTGTCTGAACGAATTACCAGTATTCTTTTGAACCAATATAAAATAAAGTGTAAATAGGTTTGTATATTTACGAACGGAATTACGATCAGTCAGTCATTATCAATATCATAAGTGGCATCAGTGTACACTTGTCTCAGTTGCTACATTTTATATCGGCGCAGCGAGAAGAAATTTACAAGACAACATGAAGAACATCATGTCAAGACCTCTACATCTCAAGGGGAGCGCGAACTGCAATCGACGGCTTGGATGTAACTGGTCGATTTGGAATTTGTAGATCTCATAGTCCTTCTATTCCATACACAGAACCAAATGAAGGTTAAGACAGTCAGTGTAGCTGCAGGAGGCCTTTATCTGTAGCTCTTCTAGGATTGCTGCCGGTTTTAAGCCCGAATGAAATGGGAGTGTTGGGCATGGCATCAGCAAACCCATTTCGTAGTAAACAACCTTGTCAACAAATCCTAACCAGAATAAATAATTTGAACTCTGTCCTGGGAGTTCAAGGATCTTCATTTACATTAATTATGGCGCCTATAGTGAAAGTCAAGAATCTTCGGAAATCACGATGTCGAAGCCCATTCTACCAAGCAGAGCAAGAAGTAGTATATTTGTATACCGTCGGATAAATGTGATTGTTTTAGACATCGATGTGAAATATCAACCATGAATAGCATAACAGCTGTTCGGAATAACGATGCAATAAAATTTATTTAGATTTAATTAAACTGATGCATAGTAAATATTAAAAGAGAAAGAGAAAATCGGTGAACACAAAATCAAGAAACTCAAATTATTCCTTTTTTTTAAATTAACAAATCGCTAAGTAATAAATATTGACCTATTTGTTCTAATCAATACTGATAGTTTAAGAGAAAAAACAAACAAACAATTCTCTCTATGTATTAGTACTC